GATTTGGACAGTGGTTGGGTGAGAGATTTTCGCCCCTATGAACTTTCTTTACTCTCGTAAGTTCTCGCGCTTCTAGAGATGCGCCACACCCGCCTTTTAGGTGCGGGAATCCCAACCAACGCGTATCTAACTTTTTAAAGATGCTACTTACAGTCCTCCCTCGAATCTAGACACGTGTATTTCACTTGTGGAAAACTATATATTTTCAAGGCGTTCTGGTTGAAGATTCTCGCCTATACCAACTTTCTCCTCTCTTGTAAGTTCTCGCGCGTTTACAGATGCGCCACTCTCACGCTTTAGATGCAGGGATCCCAACCAATGCGTAGCTAACTTTTTAAAGATGGTAATTACAGCCCTCCCCAAAAATCTACACACGTGTATTTCACTTTTGGAAGTCTATCGATTTGCACAGTGCTCGGGTTGGAGATCCTCGCCCATATCAACTTTCTTTTCTCTAGTAAGTTCTCGCGCGTTTAGAGATGCGCCACACTCGCGTTTTACTTTTTAAAGATGGTAATTACAGCTCTCTCCCAAAAATCTACAAACGTGTATTTCACTTGTGGAAAAATATCGATTTGCACAGTGTTTGGGTTGGAGATTCTCGCCCATATCAACTTTTTTATCTCTAGTAAGCTCTCGCGCGTTTAGAGACGCGTCACACTCGCGGTTTAGGTGTGAGGATCCCAAACAATGCTTACCTAACTTTTTAAAGATGCTACTTTTAGCCCTCTTCCAAATCCCCACACGTGTATTTCACTTGTGGAAAACTATCGATTTGTACAGTGTTTGGGTTGGAGATTATCGCCCATCTAAACTTCCTTTTCTCTTGTAAGTTCTCGCGCTTCTAGAGATACGCCACACTCGCGTTTTAGGTGCGGGAATCCCAACCAATGCTTACCTAACTTTTTAAAGATGCTACTTTTTGCCCTCCCNCGTGTATTTCATTGTGGATGTCCAACGATTTAGAGAGTGTTTGGGTTGGAGATTCTCGCCCATATCAACTTTCTTTTCTCTCGTAAGTTCTCACGCGTCTAGAGATACGCCACACTCGCGTTTTAGGTGCGGGAATCCCAACCAATGCTTACCTAACTTTTTAAAGATGCTACTTTTTGCCCTCCCCCAAATCTACACACGTGTGTTTTACTTGTGCAAGTCCTTTGATCTGGACAGAACTTGGGCAAGAGATTCTCGCCTGTATCAACTTTCTTTTTGCTAGTAAGTTTTTCCGCGTTTAGAGGTGCGCCACACTCGCGGTTTTGGTGTCGGGATCTTAAACTATGTTTACTGGACTTTTTAAAGATGCTAGATTTGGCCCTTTCTCAAATCTACACACGTGTATTTCACTTGTGAAAGTCAATCGCTCTAAACAATGCGTGGGTTAAAGAGTTTCGGCCATTTATATCGTTTTGTTTTTTTTTACTCGCGTGTTTTCGCGCGTTTAGCAATGCGGCAAACTCGCGTTTTTGGTGTGCGGATCCCGAACTATGCTTACGGGGCTCTTTGAAAATGCTAGTTTTGGCCCTCCCCCAAATCTACACAAACGTATTTCTCTTGTGGAAGTTTATCGATTTGGACAGTACTTAGGTTGGAGATTCTCGCCCATATCAACTTTCTTTTCTCTCGTAAGTTTTCGCGCGTTTAGAGATGCGCCACTCTCGCGTTTTAGGTGCGGGAATCCCCATTAATGCTACCTAACTTTTTAAAGATGCAATTTTTAGCCCTCCCCCAAATGTACACATGTGTATTTCACTTGTGGAAGTCTATTGATTTGGACAGTGCTCAAAGTCGCCGAGACCGGGCTACGCGCAGTGTGATTTTGACCAACTTTAAGTCGATTTCCAGGAACTTGGGCGATATTTCCAAGTCCCAGAGACTCTAAGCTATTTCGAAAAGACTTTGAATTTTAGTGAAATGGACAAAGGAAAAATTTTTGAACGCTTGGTTATGAGAAGGCTGGCCGAAATATAGCCACTTAGTGACTAGAAAGTTGCCGAGACCGGGCTACGCGCAGCGTGATTTTGACCAACTTTGGGTCTATTTCCAGGAACTTGGGCGATATTTCTGAGTCCCAGGGACTCTACACTAATTCGAAAAGACTTTGGTTTTCAGTGAAAGGGACAAAGAAAAAATCTTTGGACGCTTGGTTATGAGCAGTTTGGCCGAAATATAGCCCCTCCTTAATTCGCTAATTGACTAGAAAGTCGCCGAGACAAGGCTACACGCAGCGTGATTTTGACCAACTTTGGTTCGATTTCAAGAAACTTGGGCAATATTTTCGAGTCTCAGGGACTCTAAACTAACTCGAGAAAACACGCGAGTAAAAAAAAGATATAAATGGGCGACAATCTTTAACCCAAGCACTGTCCAAATCGATAGACTTTCACAAGTGAAATACGAGTGTCTAGGTATGAGAGAGGGCTAAAAGTAGCATCTTTAAAAAATTATGTCAGCATTCGTTGGGATTCCCGCACCTAAAACGCGAGTGTGGCGCATCTCTAAACGCGCAAGAATTTACAAGAGAAAAGAAAGTCGATATGGGCGAGAATCTCTCACTCAAGCACTGTCCAAATCGATAGACTTCCACAAGTCAAATACACGTGTGTAGATTTGGAAGAGGGCTAAAAGTTGCATCTTTAAAAAGTTAGATAAGCACTGGTTGGGATCCCCGCACCTAAAACTCGAGTGTGAAGCAACTCTAAACCCGCGAGAACTTATGAGAGAAAGGAAAGTTTATATGGGCGAGAATCTCCAACCTAAGCGCTGTCCAAATCAATAGACTTCCACATTTAAATATGATTGTGTAGATTTGGTAGGGGGCCAAAACTAGCATTTTTAAAGAGCCCTGTAAGCATAGTTTGGGATCCCTACACCAAAAACGCGAGTGAGCCGCATTGCTAAACGCGCGAAAAAACGCTAGTGAAAAAAAGATATAAATGGGCGAGAATCTTTAACCCAGGCGTTGTCCAAAGCGACAGACTTCCAGAAGTGAAATACAGGTGTGTATATTTGAGAAAGGGCCAAATCTAGCATCTTTAAAAAGTTCATTAAGCATAGTTTGAGATCACGACAGCAAAACCGCGAGTGTGGCGCATCTCTAAACGCGCGACAACACGCGAGAGAAAAAAATATAAATGGGCGCGAATCTCCATCCCAAGCATTGTCCAAAGCGACAGACTTCCACAAGTGAAATACGTTTGTGTAGATTTGCGGGAGGGCCAAATCTAGCATTTTTAAAGAGCCCCGTAAGCATACTGTGGGATCCCCACACTGAAAACGCGAGTGTGGCGCATCTCTAAAGGCGCAAGAACCCACGAAGGAAAGGAAATTTGATATGGGCGAGAATCTCTTACCTAAGCACTGTCCAAATCGAAAGACCCCCACAAGTAAAAGAATACGCATGTGTAAATTTAAGAGAGAGCCAAAACTAGCATCTTTAAAAAGCCCAGTGAGCA